GTCTCAAAATCTGTTTGCCTAAAGACCTTTCTGAAATTGTAACTTTAAAAACTTTTAACCTTTTATCATACTTGTGTTTATTCAGCTGAGTTTAGGGGAATTTTCTCCTGTGTATTTGTTGCTGGGTTTCTGATTTTTTTTTCTGTGTGCTATTGTTCATCAAAATGTGGAGAAAAAATTATCTTCTCTATAGTCATAAATGTGGAGAAAAAATTATCTTCTCTATAGGAATGAGCATGACTATTCGAGATGCTTCTTTTGTTGAAATTACTTCCTTGCGGTAGTAGTACATATTTCCCAGTATGTCTTACTGTGAAGAGAACTTCCAGAGCACAATTTGTTGTCATCTTTCTGAAGCATTGTTGGAAGAGCAGTACTGATTCTTGGCTCTGGTGGTTTGGGAAGCTACCATCTGGTCTGAGGTTTTAATTTTTGGAGCAGGGTTGGCAGAACAGAAGGTGTATGTATTCACACCTTGGCCACATTAGTTTATTTGGAAGTAAACTGCACTATCAGCTTAAACTAAGCTGCTGGGCTTCGTGCAAAAGTAGCTGAGGTGCATTAATGTTTGCTGACTTTCCTGTCTCTGACTGTCAACCCCTCTCTGCTGCTTACTGCCCTCCTGATAATTTTAAATTGGTAAAGCAAATGCAAAATGTCTTTCATCAGTATTATGAGACAATATTCCATTCCATTCCATGATTGTCTGCTGCTAACTTGGGAGAATAAACTTAACGTGATTGTAGGCTGTAGGGAGAATAAACTTAACGTGATTGTAGGCTGCCTATATGTTCTGACTAATGCAATCAAGAATAAATTCTTACTTTCTTAACTTTCAGCCTTTCATCAAAAAAGAGACGTATAATTTATGAGTTTAGTAGTAGAGGTCTGTTCTTAGATTTTGTACATGTCTAATAGGTGACATTGTTATTTGTTCCTTAACTTTTGTAGGTTAAGTGGGAATTCAAGTGCACAACCCAGTAATGAGTGAAAAAGGAGTAAGTCCTCTATAGGACTAAAGCTAACAAGAAAAGGGAAATGAGATAACTGTTTATTGACTGGGGGTGACTGGAAAGTCCAGAATGCACGTGTCTCTTTTCTTGTTACTGAAGAATAAAAAAAAAACCCTTCAGATGTTCTACTCCTTCCCTTCCCCAATTAAGCTTACTGCATGATTCTTTCAGGTAGTCAGAAGTGTGTAATTGAAGTATTAGATCGTGTGCCTTTATAATGTAAAAATAGAACCTTTTTGCCCCTAAGTAGCTTACAATTTAAGATAGCAGAAATCTCAATAATCTTTGTGAGACTCAGTTATGTTCTTAAACTCTGACGTGAACTTCACTCAAGTTGTTTAATTTGAAAAATTACTTGATCATAATGTTTGGTACTCAGTTTGTCTCTGGCATTAAAAGCTATTTTTGATCAAAGACTGATCATAAAATACGCTTTTGCTTTCTAAATAGCACGTGACTAGAATAGGGTAGGAAATTAACAGTATTCACTCTGAGATTTTCATTTTTAATAGACACATTTTCCATGAATGATATAGAGTACTGCTATTGATTTGTCACATGGCAAGTTCTCTCACATGGACATCGAGAGGTTGTCTTAGCAGAAGGCCTGAGCTCTTCTTGTAACTCTGCTTGTGTGAGCTAAAGAGTGTAGAATTCCATTCTTCTGGTTGAGGCATTTGCTTCATGAGTGTCTAACCCATCAGTGCTCATGTTTTACTACTAAACTGAAACTAATTTGGCTTTGTTTTGACTGAAATGAGGTAGAGGGCATTTATGTGAATAATTCTGACGGCAGGTTCAAGTAGGCTGTAATGAAAGGCTGGAATTAGGGGGTCTGGGGTGGTGATTTTTTCAGCTAATGTAGTTGCATATGGAAAAAGGTCTGTCTCTGCACTGGATGTGGTAGTTGAAGCTGATTGTAAAGACAAGCATGCAGTAGACTCCTAAGGACATTAAAGGCCTTGCAACTCAAATGTAATTGCAGGAATGTGTATGGTATGCTTTTAAGTGTCTGATCTGAATGAGAAACTCCTTGCAGTCAACTAATGTTTATAATATTTCCTTTGTCTCTCTGATTAAAATTTAGAAAGTAGGAGTTCTCTTAAGCTTCTTTTATCCACCTAGGGCAAGAACAAATATTTTGTACATCGGTATGCTTCTCTACTTGCATTACCATAATTTTCTCTGACTTTACAAAGGTTACATTTTCCCTGGTTTTATTATTAAAATATTGCTACCAAAAACTTCTCCTCGTTCACAGTGTGCCTGTCAGTTCCTACTTTACTGCAGAAAGAACTGGTGATATGCTAATGTTAACAGTATGCATTTGTGTTTTGATAATTAATATAGTAGAACGGTCTTATATTGGAGTTCCTGTGTTATTCTTCCATAAGTAAGCACAAAAAATAAATTTAAATAGAATCAAACACAAAAAAAGTTGTCAAAGTAGCTTTTGTGCCTCCTTTCTGCAAATGTGCTAGAAGTAGTGGTGAGACTTTGTCATCTTCAGGAAGTTCAGCAATAGTGGGTATGGGGTGGGAAGGAGAGAGGCTGCTGATAGACTAGAGCGTTGCTCCTGCTGAGACTGACAGTCATCCTTTGCTGTTTTCTCCAGTGGTAGTGTAACTGCAGAGCTAATGATTACTCAGGATATGCTGTATTTGGGGAACAAAATTTTATGTTCTTTCATTGCCATTGAAGAGTTCTATTAGAGTGGATCTTCACTTTGTATTGAGAATTTACTTTGAAATGAATATTTTTTTAGCGAGAATTGCTGTTTGCTACAAGTAATACACAAGTTCTTAAGCAACGTTTTTACAATGTGACATTTGTTTAAAAATACATGGACTTAATAAGCTGTGTATAACATACTTAAAATCATATGTATTAAAACCTTGTCTTTCTTTTGCCACAGATATCTTTAAAGCAAAGTTTTTTTTAAAACACTGAAACAAAACTTAATTCAGTGGTCAATCCATTACTTAGGCTTGGGTGGAGCTCACTTTACGTCATCTGTCTGAAAAATATTCATGCTTTTGTGTTCATGCTTAGTCTGGAGATATGGAAGACAACAGAGTGTGCTAAACTGCTAATCCAAATTTGTAATCACTCTCTGAATATTATAGCTTTTGTTTAATGACGGTTTTCTAATGTGAATCTTCTAACAAGTTTTTATGCTCTACAAATCGGCTAGGTTAGGGAGAGGGAAAATCTTTTCATAGATTTGCATGTATAAATGGTTATGACAAGGCAAGTCTATTTCTTTCTGTGAAAAAGCAAAAGTATGTTGGCTGTAGTGTCAAAAGTGATACGAAATATTTTTTGTATTGAAAGTAGTTAAGTCTATTTCTTTCTGTGAAAAAGCAAAAGCATGTTGCCTGTAATGTCAAAAGTGATACGAAATATTTTTTTGTATTGAAAGTAGTCTAGTTCCTACACTTGTTTTTTGGTCTGAAGTTGCTAAACTGCCTCTTGTAGTTAGCACGTTAAGTAATGCCTGTTCAGGATAGTGGAGAACTTGCATGTCGTCTCTTAAGTGCATTTTTGTGGTTCCCTATACCTAGACCTATATTTTTTTTTTTTCTTCATCACTTGATGTTTTGGAACTGTAACTGACAAGCAAGCATGGCACAGTTCTGCATCTTGGGACTACCGTGAAAAGCAATGTGTAGCTAATCCTGTCCTTGTCCACTAGTCACAACAGACATTTGGTTGAGCCTCTTTTTGGGGACTTTCAAGCCTTGCAAAGGTGATAATAGCAGTTTGTTTCTCCCATGCTGTACCTGACTATCCGAATTCATGAGTCTTAGGCACAGTGCAAAGGTGATAATAGCAGTTTGTTTCTCCCGTGCTGTACCTGACTATTCCAAATTCATGAGTCTTAGGCACAGGAACTCCCAGCACTCAGCCAGAATAGTCTTTTTCAAGAAACTGATATGGAAGTAGACCGTATCTGGAAGTGCATACTGTTTATCAAGTCTATCTGAAAATGTTTTTACTTTTTTTAACACAAAAAATATAAAGACCTAGATCCATTTAAAATATGAAAAGTCGTACTGTGTTCTTCATTTTAGCTTTCCATTCCCCAAGGAATCAGGAAAGACATTCTGAATTTAACATAAGTGATACTGTCTTTATTTGGTGGATACCTGTAGTAGCTGTCCTCGTTCTGAAGTGCTAGGAATGGTTTTGATTCTGTATTTTTCTATGAGCTTGTAAAGTACAGGTTGACCATTATTTTGCCCTTTTTTTTTTTTCTAGATTTATTTTTTGCTGTGTAGACAGGGGAGAACTTGTTCTCCGTTTCCATAATATTTACAGTTTGTTTGTTGTTTGGTTTTGGGGTTTTTCTTGTTGTTTATTTTTTTTTTTTTTAGAGTATTGTGGTTAATGTTAGCTCTGTTGTAGGTGGTTTCAGATAAATTTGCTGAGAAGGATGTGATTGTGGTTTAGTATCACCTTTGACTTCATCACCAATAGATACAAAAAGCAATAAAAACAATTCTAACATAATCCATTGCTAAATATGTTTTCATGTGGTTAGCACACACTTTGATATGCAGTTGTTGGAAAATTAGTGTTTAGTTAACCTGTATCTTCACACAACCTGTGTGATACTCTGGGTAAGAAATATGCCCGAATGAGGGAGAACAAAGGGAAGGAATTCAGGAAGAGGGAGCAAACTCTGGAAGATTAAAAACAGGGGAAGTAGAAGCTGTGAGGTAAATTTCCTCATGTGTTATCCTATAATTTCATAGCAGTGGCTGTTACCTATGCATAGAGTTGTTAACACAGCTGCTAAAAATCATTCCTGCTATTTAAAAAAAGATTCCTTTTTTTTATCAAATCAGAGTTTGAAGAATATAGTATACTATGTTCATATAACTTTGGGTAGTATATTATTTGACAATAACTTCATATTGTACCTATTAACATATTGTTTATAGCTTCTAAACAAATTACTTAATATTTTTGCTTCTTTGTTAGGCTCTTGTGGCAGGAGGAGGCTATTGACCTGAGATGGAAGTCAAAACATCATTTAGCAAAAACAGTAGGACTTCTGAAACTGTATCCACATTAATTAATGAAGAATTTGTCCTGGTTCATCAGCAATCTGAAGACACCTGTGGAAAAGATGAAAAACCTCGGCTAAAGGTTTACTATTACTTCATTTTAAATGTGTAGTAAGATTTATATTGATAAAAAGATTTCAACTTCTTTTGAATAATTAATTAAAAAAAACTGTGTGGGCTTGAGAAAACTTTTGCACTGTAATTACGTATATTATTTGACAATAACTTCATATTGTACCTATTAACATATTGTTTATAGCTTCTAAACAAATTACTTAATATTTTTGCTTCTTTGTTAGGCTCTTGTGGCAGGAGGAGGCTATTGACCTGAGATGGAAGTCAAAACATCATTTAGCAAAAACAGTAGGACTTCTGAAACTGTATCCACATTAATTAATGAAGAATTTGTCCTGGTTCATCAGCAATCTGAAGACACCTGTGGAAAAGATGAAAAACCTCGGCTAAAGGTTTACTATTACTTCATTTTAAATGTGTAGTAAGATTTATATTGATAAAAAGATTTCAACTTCTTTTGAATAATTAATTAAAAATAACTGTGTGTGCTTGAGAAAACTCTTGGACTGTAATTGCCAGTGAAATTAACAGCACAGATTAAGTAAATCTGTCCAAAAATGGCAATTCAGTTTTTCTTTAATTAACTTCTTCAGGAGTCAGCTTTATTAGTATTTTGTGAGTTTATACATTAGTAAAAAATGATTTTCAGCCAGTGAAATTAACAGCACAGATTAAGTAAATCTGTCCAAAAATGGCAATTCAGTTTTTCTTTAATTAACTTCTTCAGGAGTCAGCTTTATTAGTCTTTTTTTTATTTATACATTAGTAAAAAATGATTTTCAAAGAATGGGCTTCAGATAAAAGCTTGGGAAATACTCTTTTTTTAGGGACCAGAGACTCTGGGTGTTGTTATCTTAAAAGCATGTAATTAGGCTGCATAGCAATAGGCCACAGAGAGTCGGTTTTTTTAATTTTTAATTTAGTTTTCTTGCTTAGTACTGCTTTAGGCATGACTAAGACCTTTCCTAAAAGCTTTCTACCTCTAAAAAGCAGAAAATTTTTACATTTTGGTGACAGCTGATTGGTTAATTACAAAATTCCTCACTTCAGTTGCAGTAGCTTGTTTACTGGTTTTGGTCCACTTGGAACAATAGGAATTTGTTCCCCTTGAAATGACAATAAGTACTTAGTCTGTCTTTGCATAACTGTTCGGCATTTATTTACAACTGATTATTTCTGTCTGTATTAAACACTAGCTGCTTCTTCAGTAATTATGTCTGGAAAGAGGCAGGTGAACCAAAGGTAGAATCCATGATGAAAATTTATTATTGGCCATGTTTTGTTTTGTTTTGTTTTTTTAATCTGAATAAATACTACTTTTGAAAGGCTGTATTTATTTTTTTTTTTTCCCCTAAGGAATGTGTCTTACAATTTTCTTGCCATTTCCTTACATTTGTCCCATGGGTGGGACAATTGAAATGGTATTTTTTTTTTTTCCCCTAAGGAATGTGTTTTACAATTTTCTTGCCGTTTCCTTACACTTGCACCCCTCCCATGGGTGGGACAATTGAAATGCATTGGCTATGACTAAAAAAGTAAAATTTTCTTTAAGAGAAATCCGTAACAAAGTCTGATCTTTTTGTTCTGAATGGAGGATCTAAACATACAAACTTACTATTTTAAGAGAGGTCTGTAGTTTTTAGATGGATGGTTGTTGGACTAGCAAGTGATAACACGTGCATTATACGTAACGGGAAGAGACATTGAATTATACCTGATTTAATTTTGTTGATTCTGAGATCTTTGGCTCCAGTGTGGCTTAGTGCTAAGCTTTGAGGTAGATATTAGTGTCCTGTACAACACAAGAAAATTGCTGTCAGCAGTGACTGGTGGGCGGGAAGAGCAGGCCACTGCCATGTGAAACTGGGAGTGCAAGTATCTGGCTCGACTGCTGAACTTATTATGTGACTCTGGAGGAAGAATGCAGCTGTGGCCAGGTTACTTGTCCTCCTTGTGCTTTCCCTCCCTGTCCTCCCTGTGTCTTTCCTTCTGGAAGACGAAACTAATCACCTTGTGAAACTCTGATTCTGCAAATGAAAAATTATGTAAGAAATAGATAAAAGTCTATAATGTCCTTTGACAATATTCTGACGAATAAATTCTGCTGTCTGTTGTTTTCCATGGGCATGAATAGTTCAGTGAGCAGACCTTGAGGAAGGGGAAATATAAGGATTAGGTACAAAGGCATGAGTGACTAGTTAAAATGAGCTGAATTAGCAAGGGAGAAGATGCTATATTCGGGACATCTTTAAAAAAAATTGGATTTCTTGAACAATGATGTTTCTCATATTCTCAGTAAACTTTAGAAAAAGAAATGTAACTTTTTATTTTGGTAATTTAAACTGCCCACAACTTTTCAGTTGTGTTGAGGTTATTTTTTAGTACTGCACACCTGAGAAGTTGACATCAAAGTAAATGTTAAGCTTTTTTTGTTTTTACTTTAAGTTGGTAATTTATAAAAATACACAGTTTTCTTACTGGTTATTGTTTGCTAATATAAAGATGTCCAACTTTTGTACTATTAAATATTAAAAAGGAAAAGAGACAATGTTCTGTGAATGTTTAGTGGGTATCAGAAGCGTGGCATGAGTAGTTCTATTTAGTAAAATGGATGTCTGTTAAATATCATACAGCCTTATAGATGCTTAGGATGTTGTCTTCTTTAGCAAAGTTTCTTAACTTTTGTTATTAGTAAGACTATATGTTTGAAAAATAATAGTGAAAGTAAAGGTACAAGTAGCTTTAAAAAAAATGTTGTTTCCTCCTGCTTACAGGTATTTGCAAGTGGAGATGATCAGCTGGAGAAGGCAATGGAAGAGATACTGAGGGATTCTGAAAAAGACCAGAATGATTTCACTGTTCTTCAAGAAGGTTCCAGTGATGCCTGCAGCCAGGCAGCTGGAGATAGGTCATCAGGTCAAACATATCAACCATCTTTGCACCTTGTTTTAGACCCTTCTACTACAGGTATTGCTAAAATGCTTCCCCCTCAGTCATATATGGCAGTTTTTTCCTTTATGCAGTTTCAAGTTAACCTTAAAATTAATATAAAGCTTTCTTGAACTTCATTCCAAAATTGCAGTGGAGAATACACTGGAGCCTCCTCTCCTTTTCTGATTTGTTGAGAATTTTAGACAGAAGTAGATTATCATCAGATTGATATTTTGTGCTTTCCTGTTCAAGATAATTTTCATTTTGTTTTCAGCCCTAGATGAATTAGGAGTTGGTATCAGGTAACTTGCTAAATAGACTACAGACAAGGTGGAGATGCTGGTGATGGACTATGAGAAATTTCAGGGTGGTGATCATTGACAGTACTAGCTACAAATGAAATGTACCCTGAGCAAACTGATAAACTTTTCAGCCCTGGTTTTATGACCAGTTATCAGTAAGGACAGCTTTAGTTCTGATATTTGCTAAGAATGATTGTGGTACCCTGACCCCCCGCAAAATATTAGGAAAATAAGGCTGTGGCCATCTCTGTGGGCCTTGAATTCTTTTTCCCTCGGTAGTATGTGGAGCATTTCTGTGGTATTGTATCAGATAATTTCCATAGCATCTGTTTGGGAAGTAAAAAAAAAGTTTGTGGTGGAATAAGATATATGGCTTATGCATTATGGAAACACCCTTCTCTTAATTACATGTATGCTGCACTTTAGAACGATCTGTTCTAAAATACAGCCAGTCTACTGGCTTCCTGCTTGACAAGATTTTTAGGCTGATGTGCTTCAAACAGAGCACAACCCTTAGCACGAATGAAAAAAAATACTTGTAAATACTTTTTTTTTCCTGCTCTCCAGTAGAAATAATCCAATTTTTAACCTTTATTGTAATCCTAGTATTACAGAAGTATTAGCTCCCTCAGTGTTGCCCTTGTCCATAGTAGCGTGATAGTGGAAAAAAACCACTTCTCTTCTGCTGATTAGAGGAGCAAACAGGTACCCTTTTCCTTTCTCCAGCTCCTTGATGGTTTCGTGCAGTTAATGTAGCTACCCTGAAGTGTGAACCACATTTAATTCTACACAAGACATATGAGATAAGAGAATTAAAGAGGCATCGTTATGCAAAACGATGAGTAGGAATTAGAAGGGAGGTACAAGCAAACTTAATAACATCTGGGGAATAGAGCTTAAGGAAGAATTGTGTTCTAGCAATGCCAAAAATCAAAAGGCAATTTGACCCTATGCAGTACTTGGAAACATGCACCAGAATAGACTTTATTAAAAGGCAATTTGACCCTATGCAGTACTTGGGAACATGCACCAGAATAGCCCTAACATTAATGTTAAGCTGCTGAATGGATTTCTTACTATTGGAGCTGGTCCTTTCTTAAGAAAAAGTGGGAAATTTTGCTATGGAACTCTTTCAGGAAACAATGCGTAAAGATGAAAACAAATGGTTTCTTCATTTTCAGAAATCTCTGCACCAAGGCCATCTTCTCCCAGTGAACCCCTGGAAGAGGACAGCGTATTGTTTAACAAACTGACTTATTTAGGTAGCACAAAGGTGTCTGCCCCTCGAAATGAACCAGAAGCTCTACATGCCATGGCAAACATGAAATCCTCAAGTCGGGCCCCTTTACCTGTAACGCTTTATGTTCCAAACATTCCAGAAGGCTCTGTAAGGTAACATACAAATGTTTCTTTTGTTTCTTGCACAGACACATAAAAGGTGGATTCTGACACTGTTACTCAAACGGAGAAGTAGAATTGCTGGATTTGTGCCTACAGTTGTTGCTGACGATGGTTATTTTTGAGAAATTCCTCTGAGGCAACAAAATACATGCTCAAATGTAACATGCAGTACATAGTTGGTGGTGGCAGTTGTCAACAAAAACATATCTTTCTCCTTGTGTCTCTGTTCAAATATGATAATAAGAGATACACTGGAAAGTATGCTACCCCTGTTCTCTCTCTGAAGTTTCTGAAATATTCTCTGAGTTCTGAGTTTGAGAGGAGTTTAAAATTTTGTATGAGCCCTTAGATCAGTGATTACTATTCAGCTGAACATGGCAGCAGGCATTTCCTAAGCTATATAGTCCTGTATAAATAATAAAACCAAACAGAATAAATAATGTTTTCTTAATGTTTGCCTAAACAGAATTTAATTCCTTTGTAATGTTGCACTTTCTTTGATCTTTGTATGCAAATTGCATTTTCACAGTTGCTGTGGTCTACTCCCATGTTTTTAATGAATGATTGCAGGGCAATAATCGTTTTTATCGCATGATATAGAGATACTGTATTTGTCTATATTATGGAGTATAAAAGAAATTAAGCCAATGTTACAACCAGAAAAATTTACATCTTTAATTTGGAAAGCCTGACATTTCTGTTCCTGCTGCCCATCTTGTGTACTTGAATTTAGTAGTAATTACAGTTTAGTTATTTGTTTATCTAATTGCAGAAAAGCCTTTTAAGTAGGCCTGTTTGTTTTACTGACCTTTTCCTTTGATCTTCCCGTGACAGAATAATAGATCAATCAAACAATGTGGAGATTGCCTCTTTTCCAATCTATAAGGTGTTGTTTTGTGTGCGTGGACAAAATGGGACTTCAGAGAGTGACTGTTTTGCATTTACTGAAAGCAGCTGTGGAACTGAAGAGTTCCAGATTCATGTTTTCTCCTGTGAGATTAAAGAGGCAGTAAGTATTTAGTGTTGCACAGTGACTTGTAAAAAGGATACAAGTGGTATTTTAAGAAGTTATTCAAGATATGGAAACGGTATATGTTTCCTTGAAAAATACATTAATGCATATAATGAATTTCACAGAATGTGCAGCTAGTCAAACATGAATATGAATGTAATTTAATTATTTTCTTTTTATTTTAGAATTTCAATAAAATGCCAAAGTGCACTGTAATGGGAAGACTTAGTTTAAGTTTAAGACAAATATTTTGATTTTTTTCAGGCCTTATTTGCTATGTTTCAGACTAAAGTTGCAGTGTGGACCTTGTTAGTTACAAAGAATTGTTTTACAGTGCTCTGCCCTAGATACTTAGGAAGAAGTATGTGATAGTTTGGGAGAAAAGAATTTAGTTGGGTGCAAAATAAGAGATTGAAAAAAGAAATCTCCTTGTTTTTTGACATTTGCAAGAGCAGGCTGTAAGTTGTGTTGTTAAATACACAACCTGAAAAGTACATTATTCAGGTCCTCTGATGAGTTGCATTCCTATATTAACTTACTGAGTATTACATAAGCAGGGAATGTGACATGAATAGAAATAGGAGATGTTGTTACTGAATTTGCTTGGTTATTAAACAGCTGAACTGAATGCTTTGTGTTATGTGAGGCACGCTTTGTGTTCAGTATAAGAGGCAAGTGACAGTAATTTTATGTCCCTCAAAACCACATCACAATACTCTATTAAGAATACTCTTTTATTTTTGATAAAATTGTTTATTTTTTTGGTTTTTTGCAGGTCAGCCGGATTTTATATAGTTTCTCAACAGCATTTAAACGGTCTTCCAAACAAGCATCTGATCATGTTAAGGACTTTGTTCTTCCTACTCCAGATAGTGATGTGTACACTTTCAGTGTTTCCCTAGAAGTCAAAGAAGATGATGGAAAAGGGAATTTTAGGTAATGTGAATGGAAAGAGAAAAACAGAAATCTCTTGGAAAAAAGTATATAGCTACTTGCAGAAGGCACTGCTGCTGTGTTGCAGTATAATAGATTTGGCCTCTTTTCATAAATAGACTCGTTATAACGAGGAAGCTGTTGCTTTGCTATTACAGTTTTCTTCTCTGGATCTTTTCTGTAAAAAGATTAAAAATCGGGATACCTTTTTCAAATCAGTTTCTTTTAAATACATGATTTCTGGTAGGGATGCTCAAGGGAGGCCTGAGGAAGACAGTAGGAAGTCTGTCACAAACTTTACACAAACTAGTTTTCTTGAGTAAATGCAATCTAGTGGTGTCTCTCTTTTTTTTTTTTTTAATAGGCTATTAAATTCCAAATTTATTGAAGATTTAGGAAATGTAAACTTCTCTAAGAATTACATGGGACATGGGAGCGAAGTATTCCTTGCCTAACAGTTAATTGCAAGATTTTGTTTGAATGGATGAGAGAGCTGATAATAAGAGTCAATTCTGTGAAAGTTTCCTATTTATTTTTTGCTTCATAGTCAGTATATAGCATATTTTCTATAATTTAAAACCTTAAAATATCCCATGTGGTTTTGGATATGTTTGTTTGATAAATCCCCCAGACAGTCAGTTTACTAACCGTGAGCTTATAGTCTGGTTTTGTTCAGTGCTGGTTTATTACCTTGTGAAAAAAGGAAGAGAATGTCCCTCCAATGAGTTGAGCCATTAGCAGTTTAAGTCAGCTGCTACTCTCTTTTCTGTATTTAACAGTTAATTTTCTGTACTGGTACTAAAGAAACTTATTTCTTTATTCTTTTAGCCCTGTGCCAAAGGATAGAGATAAGTTATATTTCAAACTTAAACAGGGAATTGAGAAGAAAGTGGTAATTACAGTTCAGCAACTTTCAAACAAAGAACTAGCCATTGAAAGGTAAGATTCTTAGCTTTTCTCCTTTTAATTGTCTTTTTGAATGTGCTGTTAGGATACCTATGACATCCAAATGCGTTTGATTTTGTTTTCTCTTGCTTTTAAGTAGTGCAAAACCACACATTTATTGTAATCCTGCTTTACCAGCAGCTCAAGGTTTAGCAAAAGTAACCAAGTTAGGTTGTCTGAGCTATGTGAAACCTTGGAGCATATTAATCTGTTAGATTACTGGAACACTACAAGTTTGGACTCACCATGCTGGTTAGAAGCAGCAATTTTTTTGGTGGAGTCTTCAAGATGAGGAGGATTCCTTTGTAGTTTATTATAATTATCCTAATTTTTATCTTCAAGTGATGAAGAGCTCTGCAAGGGTTGATGACTCATGCTGTATCTCCTGGAAATTACATGAGAGGGATCCCTTTTGGACAGAATAATCTCATCTTTTGTGCGAAGCATTTGCACAAGAAGTGGATCATGCATGTGAAAAATAACTTAGTTAATGTGTTCATTAACACTAGCCTCTTGTTACTGCATTAGTAGAAAGTATTATACAATATAATTAGGAAATTCCCTCTCAATAGCTCAATTTTTAACAATAGCAAGCGCCACCAGATGGCAATCTTATCAAAAGAGTAACAATAGAAGAATTCAATTTTAGTGACAAGGGAATCCAAGATAACAGAAGAATCAAGAAAAAAGCCCCACGGTCCTTCCAGAACCTAAGATTGATTTCTTCAGTTGCTTTCAAGCTCATATTTAAAAAATGAGAGTAAAATTTCAGATAAGTAATATACAGCAGAATTTTTTATCATCATTGTTTGGTGTTGTGAAATTGTGCTTTTGTTACTAATTAGCTTTAAAAAAAAGCCTTATTTTCAATATGTTTTTAATTTAAATAATTTTGGCTTCAGAATTCAGTTAATGAATTACAATCTCTTTTAAGCATTTCTGAATAGTATTTGATTGTTGGTTTTTTTCCCCAAAAAAGCAAAGCTAACTTCCTTGGAAATTAGCTTTAATTTTGATTTCGTTCAGAATATTCAGTTAGGTTGTTTTTTTTATCGCCACAAGCTTTGCCAATAAAAAGTTATTTAATTGACATGACATACACAGACTTGTAAGTTATTTTATGTACTTACACTGCATAACATTAAAATTCAAAACCAGTATAAAAGATGAATTCAGGTTACATCAGACAGTGAGCTTCTAAGCAATTTAATGTGTCTTTAAAAATATTTCTGAGTGGAAATAACAATACAAAAAAATGTTGTTAAATCAATTGTTTAATTGACATGACATACACAGACTTGTAAGTTATTTTATGTACTTACACTGCATAACATTAAAATTCAAAACCAGTATAAAAGATGAATTCAGGTTACATCAGACAGTGAGCTTCTAAGCAATTTAATGTGTCTTTAAAAATATTTCTGAGTGGAAATTGCAATACAAAAAAAATGTTGTTAAAGAAATTTGGTCTCTGGTCTAAAGAGTCTTTCTTCATGGTCCTGGAAGAGTAAACCTGGTATCACTCAGAGAAACTTGCCACCTCCTGGTGTTCAGGCAGGGCCTGTGGCTGGGTTAAGTTGGTAGAGTAGGTTACTCTCAGTTGAGTTATTTTGGCCCTTCCTACCTCTGTGGCCTATTTGACCTGGGTTTTGCCTGTTTATATCTAGGTCAAAGCAGGTAAAGAAATTATGTTTTTTCCTGTCTCCCAGGTTTGAGTCCTGGGTGTCACTACATAGGTTCAGTCTCACAATGTGGGATATCAGGTCTTAGTTGTACACAGGATTAAAGAAGAAAATTCTGGTTAATAATCAGGGGGCTTTAAGAAAGTTGTGATGAAGAGTGAAATGGGCTTTCATTCTGAAAGTATGCTACTAATCATACGGGAGAGTTACCAAGTTAAATAGGTATAGCTTAGGTTAAAGACTGGAGTGGTATCCTTAGAACTGATGTGCAGAATTGGCTGGTTGCTTAGCAGTACTAGGGACTCCTAAAGATCATGTTAATACCATCAGTCTTATCTGTGGGTAGCATTTGTATTTATATATAGAGAAATATATATTAGAGAAGAATAATTTCAGTTCTTTTTTTGTGGGTCTAGAAACTAACTGAATTTAAACACAATATTGGCTGGTTGCTTAGCAGTACTAGGGACTCCTAAAGATCATGTTAATACCATCAGTCTTATCTGTGGATAGCATTTGTATTTATATATAGAGAAATACATATTAGTGAAGAATAATTTCAGTTCTTTTTTTGCGGGTCTAGAAACTAACTGAATTTAAACACGGTGTCGCACCTGCACATAGCCAGTTGGTATCTAGCTGGAAGTGCAGAAAACCCAACATGTCAGAAGTGGCAAGACTGAGGTCCACAGTCTGTGCAGGTCATTTTGAATTTTGGGTGTGTGGTTCAGCCTCCTCAAATCGGAAGCTGAACATGTTGGCAACTGTTTACGTAAAATCTGGCTCCTCTGCAAGTGAGGGTTCTGAATCCACATGAACTCATTTTGCTCTTTGAACTTAGTGGAAAGAGAAGTCCTGACTCTTCTAGTAGCAGGAGACAGTTGGTCATCAGAGGTTTCTGTTTCTGTGAGAGGCAGGGGTTACTCATTCCCGACTCCCACACTTACAATGCAAAAGATACTATAGCCCCCCCCCCCCCCCCCCCTAATAAATCATAGCCCTTTCAGAGCTGTTTTGACCTAAGAAATAATAAGTAGTCAGTTTGCTGTAACATTCTGCCTGGTCTAATTAGTGTCTCAGAGAAACCTGCTTGTGTGGTCAAAGATAAGTCCTAGCATTTTAGCTACCTTGGTTGCTTTACATGGCACTGCATTATGCTATATAGATAAATCAAAATTGTTGTCTATTTTTTTATTTGCCACTTTTATTTCTATTCTATTTCTAGTAGTGCAAGATTATGGAGAAGGAAAAATATAATTGTGGATGGAAGTTACTGTTTAAGTGTAATGAGGTGGAAAATGAAAATCATATATCCAAATGTAATGGGGGTGAACTTACTATGTGGTGTGGTAATTGCATTTCTCAAGACTTTTACAGTTAATAGCATTATTGAAATGATAGTTGCTATTATATCTCTGTTCATGATACAGCGTGCTTGCCTGAAAGCTGTGAAACTATTCTGTCTTCATTGCTAACCTATGAATGTTCAAATAATCTCTTGCAATTTACATTTGCTGAAAAATATAAATAATAAGTGGGTTGCCCAGATGACAGACCTGCCTTTGTTCGGTCTTGGAGAAGGTTGGGAATAGGGGGCCATCTGTGGTGCATATGAATACCTGGTGGGAGGGTATGGAGGAGATGAAACCAGACTCTTCTTGGGGGTGCAGAGCAGTAGGATTACAGTCAATGGGCACAAATTACTTCCCTGGAAATTACCCTGTCAGTACAAAGAGTTGAGCATTGAAACAGATTGCCAAAAGAGATAGTTCACTCTCTGTTCCTGGAAGTGCTCAGAACACCACTTGGCAAGGCCCAAGGCAATGCAGTTCAAGTTGGTCCTCTTGAGTGGTTGCTTTGATACTCAGGAAGTTTGAAAGTGTGAATGTTTTAAGGATGTTTTGGAATTCTTTTTTTTTTTTTTCCTCTTAAAAATATCAAGAATGCTTTGTTGTTAAACAACTGGGCTGGAATTCTGCAGTTCAAGGCCCTGTATAATACAGAAGTTAATTTTTAAAAAATAAAGAATGAAAGTCTAAAAATTCAGCACATCATTGTTTTTTTTTAAGGGCCTGTGATGCTACATGATGTTTTATACCAGTGATGTTATGAGCTATAGAATGCATGAATTTGTAACTTTTCATATGATTGTATGAAAAACAATTTTTAAAGTGGACTGGGGAGAGAGTGAATTTCTTCTTGCCAATCTCTATCACTAATGTATAGGAATTGTTTGTATCTTTAAGCTCAGTATTCTAAGTTGTCTTTAAGAATAATTGTTCACAGGTCAGACACTAATTTATGTCATCTTCATTCTGGAAAACAATTTCATTGTCACTGCTAAAATATATATTGTGATGTTTCTTGACCGTTGCCATAACACTAACAGAAAACCATGAAGAAAGGTTTTCTTTAAATTAGAAGCAGTAGGTGGCTGTGCCATTATGTTCAAGAAAATACTGTTACATTTTAAAAAGCTAATTATATTTTAAAATTTTTTTTTAAAATAAACTTCACAGGTGCTTCGGGATGCTACTAAGCCCTGGACGAAATGTGAAGAACAGTGACATGCATTTACTAGACATGGTAATACTTAGCTCTTATAATCCATGTAGTAGGATGGAGGTGATTTAAAAAAACAAAGAAAACTCAACCAACCAAAACTCTTGTCTGTTTGGTTTTTTGTTTGGGGTGGTTTGGTTTTTTTTTTTGGTTTCTTAAATCCTGGGGTTTATGTCTTAAAACTAAAACCAAACTTGTTACATAGGATGGGTCAAACATTTCGGTTAAACTCAAAACCTGTGGCTTCTGTTTTTTGTTCAGTTGTTGAAGGCACTGATGAGGTCAGCTGACAGCTGGTTATTACAAATAACTAAGCTTTCTGTATGGTGTTAACCATCTTGCCTTAACATTTAGAGCAAATAATTGTTGTATTTGGGCATCAAAGAGTGGCCTTATTTTTCCAAGATGCTGAAAACTTTACCTTTATTAGCTTCATTTGAATTGAAATTCTTGCTCAGAGTTTGAAGTATTCGCTTGTCTTTACAATCTTGATTTCTTATGAGTTGCTTCCAAGAAAACAACTGCAAAATAATGATACTTTCTGTGGTAATATCAATTTACTTTCATGCTGTGGATAAGAATGCAACCATTTTCAAGTCAAGAAGTGCTTGAGTTAAACCAATCAGACATTCTGTGTCTGTACAGTTATCCTAGTTTTACCTACTCCATTTTTATACTCATTTTGATGATTCTAGCTATCAGTATTTAGTTCTCTTGTCTAACAAGAGATACAAATACTATTTTATTTGCCTGTTTGCATCTACTAGCTCATTTTTTTTCTGTTTTTATTTGCTAACATTAGTTTCTCAGATACAGAGGCGTTGCTGTTACTATTAACTTTATTGTATGTGGATGTTTTGACTTTTATTTGCATACTGTCCTGAAATTTGGCTCTTTAAATCTCAAGTTGCTATGAACTGGAATTCCAGTCCATTGGCATATTTACAAATAAAAGTCCACGTCTGAGCAACTCAAGGAAGAATCTGGCAGAGGTGTAATTACAGAATGGGAAAAAATCAGCCTGACCTTTGGGTTGGTGGTGTTAAGGTCTTACTCTGCTAAGGTTTTTTTCTTTTTCTAGACTATTTCTGTGTATACTGTGGGCTAGTATAATTTTATGAATCCTTTTGTAACCCATCCTCTCCTAACAACCATCTCAGCTGCTCAGAAAGTAGAGTGGCGGACATCTCACCATACTTTCATGCTTATAAATATTGAAAAAAAATATGTTGATAAACTATCTTGTCTACGTTTTCTTATGCAATGTTTCTCTTCTAATGTTTCTTCTTTCTCTACCATTTCCCTATAACCTTTCTCAATCCATTATTTCATATTCTTTATTTGGATTGTGGTCTCTAGAGCCAGCACAATCTTACTCTGAAGTTCCTAGAACTATTTCGCCTCCCTATGCTCAATCTCTTGATTTTGAGCTCATGCTCAAACCATGACTTTTAATGGAACCCTGTATGTTTTTATTTTTAGGAATCCATGGGGAAGAGTTCTGATGGGAAGGCTTATGTAATTACTGGAATGTGGAATCCTAATGCACCCATGTTTCTAGTACTTAATGAGGAAACTCCTAAAGGTAATTTAATATAATTTGTAAATTTGTTTTGCCTGACATGGCTTTGATGTATGTATTTTCTCCTGGAAATCTTGCTGCATATGTTTGAGTACATACATCGTCATGTTCCAAGTCCATGGCTAGGAACTTCACTATATAAACATATGTAAAATGGAAATGTGCATAATTGTTCAGAGAGCTGTGTGTTACTGATACAGAGATGTTAAATTAGTGTTTGGGGCTTACGTGTCTGTTCCCTGGTTACTGGAATTTTTTGGTTCTAAGCATGCAGGAGTTGTTTTCCACCTGCTGTACTCACCAAAGCAGTATAAATCCGAAGCATTGCTATTTTCATTCTTTTAGTTTTGAGGTGAGTTGATTACAAATAACATTGCAATCTCTTCATCTTGGGGCAGCTGGAAGTGAAACACTGCAGTGCTTGATTATGTAGCACAGTTTCTAACCACTAGAATTGATGTTCTCTGTGATGGAAAAGGTGTAAATGCAAATCTGGAGTTTGTTTCCTATCAGAAACAAGGCAGAGCTCACATCAGTTGCTTAAAGTATATAAAACCACTGTCACTGTTCTTGCTGTTGGATTTTCAAACCACACTATTTCTTGTAGCATATAGGCAAAACTCTTACTGTGCAGTTTGACACAGTTTCTGGTTTATGATTAGACTTCGTGTGTGTGTGGTGTGGTTTGGTTTTGTGGGGTTTTTATTTATTTTTTTAATGCCCACTTGCCTCTTTGGTCTCATAAGACAAGAGAGTCTTTGGATCCTTTATGTCTGATTCCAAATGTTTATTTTAAAAATCTGTGCTTCCTGCAAGAAAGATGTCAGTTCTGATGGAGAAAAATGGTTACTACCTCTCTCTGAGGTGAATGTTCTAGAAGCAGCAACCCTTTTCTTGCACTGTAAACCTGTAAGATACACTTGGACTCTTTCATTGTCATCCTCTGGTTCGTTGATCCTGCATTCCCCTCTACTTGAAAAAGTTGGAGTTATGTTTCAGTACTAGGAAGGTGGAGCTACTATAGATTAAGATTACTGATCCATGCCTTGCATTAAAAATATGTATTGCTGCTATGAGGAGAGATATTTTTTTATTTTTATTATTTTTAAAGATTACTGATCCATGCCTTGCATTAAAAATATGTATTGCTGCTATGAGGAGAGATATTTTTTTATATTTTTATTTTTATTTAAACAAGTTTACTTCTGCCATTTATTGTTTTGAGAAATTTGAACTTTGACTCATTTTTCTATATGTGGCTTACTTTTCTGTTTTAGATAAGCGTGTGTTCATGACTGTGGCAGTGGATATGGTTGTTACTGAAGTAGTAGAGCCAGTCCGCTTTTTGCTGGAGACCGTTGTGCGTGTGTACCCTGCCAACGAACGCTTCTGGTACTTCAGCAGAAAAACCTTCACAGAAACTTTTTATATGAAGCTAAAGCAGGTATTGCACTTTCTTTTTTTTTTAGAAAATTTGATGCTGGGAGCATTCATTTTGTCTGTCTTAACTTGGCCTTTCTAAAGGCACCTGCACCTCAGCAGTTTGTTTCTTTTAACTATTTATTGCTGAGATCCTTAAAGGCATAGTGGTTAAGTAGCATAGATAAACATTCAATGCCTTTGTAAACTGAACTACAGTGAGTCATAAGTCATTGGCTTTGTGGGCTTGAACAATTTTGAACCTGCCTATTGAATTCTCTGTAATTTCATACAATCTGGCCTGTGTGCAGATATCTAAAGCAAGTCCATTTGACTGGTAAAATTGGGAAATGACTTTTTAATTTTTCACTGTAAAATCAAGTAATACGTATCAAAGGGAAACCCGGGGCTACTGAGGTTCAAAATGCTCTGGGTGGTCCTGCTTTAGCAGGGGAGTTGGACTAGATGATCTCTATGGTCCCTTCCAACTCTAAAAATTCAGTGAAATTCAGTAAAAATGTGAAGGTAGGTGGCTGTAAGAATATAATCAATTAAAGGCAAGGAACCTTATGCAAAGGTTTAAAAGAGTTAGATTATTACTCTCGTTTTCTCAAAGTATCTGAGAAGGTAGGTCTCTCCGTGTTTTCAAAAAGATAAGTTTGGAAGAAGATTATCCGGAAAAGTAAATTGTGATTCATGGAGAAGCTGCCATGTGTTTACCCTTGTGGTTGCTGATGAGGACAAAAAATTATCTACATTATTGTCCTTCACTCCCTCTAGGCTTTGTGAAAGGGGAGGTATGGGCCTTATTGTTGCAATGGTTTATTAAATTAGCATTCTTTGCGTGATTTCATGATGGTGACTGTAACCTTATGAAATGTCCAAACAGCAGAAAAGAAATCACCATTTTTAGCAAACTTTTCTCTGACGTATTTTAGTTTGTCAATCCCTTCAAGTTTGGCTTTTAAGTCAAGTTGTGCAAACACTCTGCGATTCTACAGAGGGGGGGAAGTGGTTAAGATGAATCTTAATGCATAGCTGTGTATTCCCTCTCTGTTAGCTTTCCCAGTCCTGTGCTTGTGTGATTAGTGTGCATTTACTTCTTTCTCAAGCAGTAAGAGATGATATATCCACCTCATCTAGTAATGTTTGTTGAATAGTTATCTATTGAGTAGAATGCTAAAGTATCTTCCAGTTTTGGCATTGGATGAGGTATTTGTCTGCCCTTTATCATTGTAGTAGTATCTTCCAGTTTTGGCATTGGATGAGGTACGTAAAGTATTTGTCTGCCCTTTATCATTGTAGTGTGATGCACAATTGCATCCTCCTCCATCAACTGCTGACCTGCTTTCTCCAGAGACTTATGTTGTGGTATTGGTTCAAAAAGTGAACAGCAAAGGCTGTCTGTATCACTTGCTTTGGAATAGTGGTCCATCATCTTTGACTAATGAAAGCAAAGAGCAGTTAATTTTACTGAGCTTAATGTGAATATTTGACTTGTCATCTTCCTGTAATAGGAAGGATAGGGAATAGGAATAGGGCACAGTAATGGGTCTAAAAAACCAAGCTCTGTTGATATTACATGGCAAAAGTGCAGCTGTGTTTAACACTTAGTGAGTAAATAAATCTCGTTGAATGCTGTTTCTGTATTTCTTCTAGAGATTAGCGTAGCAACTTAGAATTCAAGAAAATCTGAGAAACCCAACTGTTATATGCAAATGTTGACAATATCTACATTTTAAATTTAAAGAAAACACATTTGAAAATCTTACATTCTCAGCTGTTTGATACTTATCTATAATCAGTTAAGCTTTCCTTTTAAATCACTTTACAACTGTAACGTTTTTAATTGAGTAATATGGATGCTTTCTTTTTTTCTTTCTCACCTCTTATAATGTGACAACATACATGTGCCTCCCCTCCCTGCACAATATGGATGCTTTCTTTTTTTCTTTCTCACCCCTTATAATGTGACAGCATACATGTGCCTCCCCTCCCTGCAGAAGCACGTTCATTTCTTCCTGCTGTAAAATTCTGAGGAGCTGTTCTGCAGAATTTTTAGGAGAGGAACACTTATAATCTTTTAAATCTTTCTACAAGATTAGGTCCTGATTGTGCATGACAGGGTCTCTCTGGTTGACCTGTAGCGAGTCTTTATTTAACCTGTTATCAGTTGGACAGTTTGTATTGAAATAGCTGTTCCTGCAGATACCTCTGGAGGATGCTGTACCTCAGGGCACTACTTATTCCTTGGAAAATAACTTTGTAGTTGGCATTGGGATCATCCATTTATGGACTTTTGGGGAAAGCAGTTGATCTTAAGTAGATTCCAGCGAATGTAACAGTAGATTATTAGATATTATCAAAAGCCTCAGCTCCAAACATAGGTGGCTTGTCTGTGCGGGATAATGAATCCTGGGGTATAATTTCCTGCTGATGTAATATCATGACAATAATACTATTGGTCATTGTGCAAATGTAGCATGTTTGACTGTGGGTGAGAAATTCATGCATGTGGTCTGTCCAGTTCTCAGTTCTAGCGTGCAGAGTCCTTGGGAGGAACCCTTAGACTTGGGCTGTCTCAGCAGGGTGCCCATTCCAGTAAGGAAGCATCCATTACTGGTGTTCCAAAGTGAATCAAGCCATGAAATGGCATTTTCCTGCAAGGGGTAAATGGGACCTGTCTTTATTGGCAGAAGAAAAAAATCAGAACTTCTCTGAGGAAGGATTCAGACAGATTTCATAGTCTGAACCAAGACTGGTGAAGTGCAGTCAGATGTGAGGAATGACATAAATGCAGGTTGCTGTGTGATTTAGGATTGTTCTTTCTTTCTTTCATTCGTTCTTCTTTCTTTTCTTTCTCACTGTGTTATTCATGCACATTTTCGTAGTTAGAACATGATCCTTGTAAAGGTGGATTCCTTTACCAAATGCATGCTTCAGAAAAAACAAATAACCAAATTATTTGCATTTTATAGAGATGGGTCTTGTGGCTAACTAGAACATGTTCAAGGAGGCGAAGACTTGTAATATACAACAAAATCCATAGTACTTCATGCCTTAACTCCCTCGAAAGTAAAAGCTATAGATAGCGATGGTTAATACTATTAAGGGCATCAATACTTGATTGATTTAACCAAGTACTTTGTAATTACTTGATAATGGTATTTTGTGAGAATAAAATAGGGACAATGGCTCTAATATCATCCTGCTAAATGTTATAATATGCAGGGGTTTTATGCCTGCACCCCAAAGTTCATTAAGCTGACTTCATGAGAAGTTCGGTCAGCAAAACTGGCTTATAATTTGTGACACTGCTTGCAGGGAATATCAGCTTTAAAGTAAGCAGATCTGAATGATTAATCTAAAATACAGTAAGAAAGTTTTCTCAGTATAAAAACATTGATGTTGTCAGTCCAAGCAGTCCCTATTTAAGCTACTCGCCTGCATAATTTTGCCAGCTTGTTGAAATTGTAAGTGCTGGTCAGCTTTGATGTGCATCTCCAGCAAAGGCGTTGTGGAGTCTTCCAACTTTATAATAATTTTGATGGTTTTTAAACGAATTGAGTTTTCTCTAACAGAAATACTGAAATTGTGTTCTTTTCTCTTTCATGGTTAATTTGATGTTTTTAATATGTTCAAGAAATTACCTTATTTTAACTGATTATGCAAGATGCACAGAGAACAAAACAGCCCAACATTTTGGGCTGGTTCATTTAATACAATCATTAGTTTGCAGTTTCATACAGTTCTCTGCAAATATATTAATCACTGCACGTCACTGAATAATAACTGTGTTCAGAACTGTAACTCAGAGGAGAAATTAATACTTAGTTTAAATCTTGCAACCTTGTATCCAGTGCTTAAAGTATAGGTAACGTCTTTTTTGATGTGAATATCCACTGAATGTATAAGACTTAGATTAAACTCTGAACTTTTCAAACTTGAAGTAAAAAGAAACCAAACAACTTCCCCCTGCTCCCCAACCTTTGAGGTAGTTTGCCTTGAAAGTTACCAAATTCCTAGAGAGAGAGATTTGGAAGAAAAACTGCTTTTACAGAACAAGATTATTTCTGCTGAAAATATTCAGACCTCAAACAGGAAGAAAAACTGCTTTTACAGAACAAGATTTCTCTTGAAAATATTCAGACCTCAAATGTATTTTGTTACAGGTACCACACCCAAATATCCAAGTTAATTTAACTTAGCTTGACAGATATTCATGATTTGTACATGTGTGCACAGGCAGATATATGCATTTCCCCATTGAAAGGAGTATATTACACTCACTGGAAAGATTACTTTTTCTGTTTTTCTAATGAGTAAAACAATACAAGGAGCTTTTAATAATTTATGGTTTTCCAAAAGCATGAGGTTTTGTTTCCTCTTTAGTCTTGTCTTCACCTACTAAAAACTCTTACTGTTACATTCCCCCTCCCTCCCGTTCGATTCCTATTTCTGTGATGTCAGTTACTCCAGTATTTTTCCTGTTTGTTCTCTCCTCTCTCTCTTGCTGTGGTTTGTCTTTGACCTCATCTCCTTATAGCTACTTAAATTGGAAAGATTTTTTTTATCATTGTTCTGGGCAATACTTAAAATGGTTGTTAAGAGGCAACTTTGGAAACAATGCACTTTTATTTATAGTTTCTACCTATAAAACTTAAATGGAGCTGTCGGTTACTGCCAGTCTGCGTGTGCAAAGAAATCTGAGGGGGTCTTGCCCAAACTGTTGTTTAGCCTTGATATGAGATTTGTTTGTATGTGTTTGGGGTTGGTTTTGGCATACTATTAGAACTGTGTTTATCAACAGTGGGGACCTAACGCATACCCACATTTTGTTTTAGTCTGAAGGGAAAAGTCACACAAGTGCTGGGGATGCAATTTATGAAGTTGTCAGTCTACAAAGAGAATCTGCAAGAGAGGAAGAACTGGTCAGCCCGACAAGTGGAGGAGGGCCTATGTCATCATCCCAAGAGGATGAGGCAGAAGAAGGTAAGAATAAATGAGTGTTTACAGTTCCCTTAGTACTATTAGATTTCTGCTGTCAGTGTACTCATTTAATTCTTCCTATTTGTGTCTATTAGAAATACAACTGTTTTGGACAAAACAATCACACATGATTTTCTGCTAGCAGCAGTTCTTTAGTCATGGGCTTTTTACCAACCCATTATTTGGAGTTCTTCCAGTAGCAGCAGCAGAAAATGCATGTCTGTGTTTCTGTGTGCTTCAGAATGTATTACTGATGCACTTGTGCTCAGTTTACAAGATAGAAAACCTTTTCTAGATAGATTTTCTTCTCATCAGAAGACATTGCCCTTGAATGTGCTGCTAATGGACAGCATTGAAATGGGCTTTAAATGCCTATTTGTAAAGAAAAGCAAAAAAAACCCCAAAACCCAAATGGACACATACAGGGAAATTCCCCATTCCCAAACTGTCTGCTTAGCATGTGATTCCTTCCTCCTCATTTATAACTAGGGCTTATCAAAATATCTGCTGGTTCAGTTGGGGATCATGTTGGGGATTGCTGCTGTTCATTAACCAAGTGTATTTGCTTGCCCCTTCCAAAGCTTACAGTACCTCAATGTCTTTCCCACTGGTGTTTTTTTTGTTTGTTTTTTTGTTTGTTTGTTTGGATTTTTGAAGGCCCTTGGCTTACTGTCCTCTCTCTGTCTCTGAGGGTTAGCCCATAGCGTTCAGAATAGGCTTTCTACGTGCCATTTTTGATCTGGATATCTGACCTACTAGAACTTGTGATAGCTTTACAAAGTTATTCTTCAGATTTCTGGCACTGTTCTGACAATACTATAAAAAGTCTCACTACAGCAGAAAAATTCCTTCTTGATTCTTACTTATAGGTAAGTAGCTGGATATTAGTTTATACAATGCAAAGCAGAACCCTCTGATTAACAGTCAGGAGCAGACAGGTATGGTTACTCTGTTCCAGTTACAAACAAAAAGGCCCACGTATCCCAGGTGACACCAGGCTTACAAAGCCCACGACCAGGTGCTCTGATGAATTGAAAACCTTCTACTGATTCCTGGAGGGAGTGGGATGGGCATTGACTATCAGTGTTATTCCCTACTTTGTATCAAGTACCACTTCTGAATTGTAAAAACACTATTTTCTCTAAAGTAGCTTTTATACTTAATTGGTACTTGTGGTTGCTTTACTGTTCATAGCAAGAATTATTTCAGATTTGACCTTTGGGTCTTGTGGTTCAGCGTAGCGTAGTTGAACATCTGTGGGTGTTCTTTCCCTTGCTGGATGTTTGAGTTGTATAGTCAAAATGTTTTCTGGAGTTTGTTTGATAGGATAGAGTTTAAGTAATTACTTGAATACTTTTTAAAATACTGCTTCTTACTTGGAAGAGTAAAGTACTGTTCCACAATTTGATGAATGCAGCACAATTAGTGCTACTGTGGGTATCATCCTCTTGGTGCTATTATAGAATGGCTTTTTTTTTTTTTTATAGAGTAAAAGTGTTCCACTGGGGTATGAACCCAAGTTAAACTTTGGTTTAGCTTCCTAATGCTAGTTTCCATATTTTAAATGTAGATTACTTCCTAAGAGAAGACATTAAAAATATCATGATGCGACTCTGTTCTCATGGAAACTGCATTTAGAGTTATCTGCCTAGAAGTTATCTATCCTAGTGGATATGCAGGTTAAATGAGTCATTTGCAGTTGTTCTAAATAAATCTCTTCATTCTTTTTCTTTCTTTTTCTTTTCAGGGTACTAATTATGATGATGGAAAAAAAAAAAACCCTTGAGTTTACAATGTCTTGTCTTAGCCTTGGAAGAAGGCTTTTTCTTTTCTTTAATGTTAAGGATGGTAGATACCTGGCCTTATAGTTGGGGTTTTTTCTGCTCGCCACCTGACTAGGGCAGGTGTGCATTATAAGGACTTTATTATTTCATAGATCAGAGGCTGGTGTTCCCATTACAGATATTGAGAATTATTACCTGTTCTACTTTTTTTTTTATTTCTGCCATATCCTCATATATATCCTACGTGCCCAGAGAATATTACCTAATTTACTTCAGAAACACTATACATTGCAGTTTCATTTGTATAATGCTGTAAGAATGCATGCCTCATTTGCACTTTACCTGATTTCTGTGTACTCTGTGTGTGTGTGTGTGCATACACACAGCTCAGTGGGATGTCTTATGTCATGAGTATATGAATAAAGATGTTGATAAGAAAAAGGCATTTTTTTTCAATATTTTTATTGTTTTTCTTTTAATGAAAGGCCAAACATGATTCCCCCCTTCCCCGATAATGATTTAAAATAATTACTGTACTAGTGTTAGGCGTAGTCCCTTTCAAATGCACAGCAACTACATATAGGAAATTGAGATCATATATTCCCAAAATAGCATTCATAGCTTTTAATATTCTTTTCTTATTTTAGCTTTATTTTTCATCTGAACAGCTATATAAAAATATTAAGATCTTTGCAAAGATTGGGCAATAGCTACTTAGAGATCTTTCAGATCAACCTCACTTTTTTTAAATTATTAATATTATAATAGATATTTCTGGCAACCCAGCCATCTATGGTTCCTTGCTTTGGAGATAATAATTTTAAAAATGTAATTAATATTAAAAATTTCTTGTCAAAACCTAGAATGTATACTGCTTGATAAGAAACTTTCTATTAAATTCAGAATATAATTTTAAAAGACTCAAATACATAATGAGGAAATTCTTACTCCTTCTGGAAAGGTTTCAAATAAAACCAATTTAAGTATCCATTTTTTTTCAATAAGCAGAAAAATACACAGTTAATATTTAATTTTGAGTAGAACCTTGTAACATGGTGAAGAGCACAATTGTTTGAACTAATCTTTTTCCTTTTTGGAGCATTAAGAATAAGTGAGAACATGTATGGAAGCGGCGGTTTGTATATTGCATTATTTAAAAAGACAAAGCTGCACAGAGCATTTTCATTGTGGTGTCATTGTGTGGCAGGATGAAGTGGCTGGCTGCATGTGTAAGCCTAAATATTGGAGAAAGTTGCTTTCCAGCAGAAGCTTTCACAAAGAGAATGTAGTCCTAGAAACAAGTAACAAAGGAGAAGGGGAACAATACATTGGCTTCTTTTAGCAGCAGTTCTTGCTTAGACCATACATGACTAGATGACCTTTGGAGGTCCCTTTCAGCCTGGATGATTCTCTGATTCTCTGAAATTCCTTTTGCTCTAATATTTTAATTCTTTTTGTGTTTGTTTTCCTTAATTATAATGTGACATTTCAGGAGAATTCTAGATAACTCCATTTAAGTTTCTTCTTGAATCAGAATAACGTTAGAAGGTTGAGGATCACTAAGTGGGAGCAATTATGTTTAAAACCAGAAAGTAGTCTCTTAACTGGTTGTGACTGACTTGGAAGATTTTATTTTTTTTTTTGCTGAAGTTTTATGTGGTACCAAGTGTCTGGTTACTAGCTCTTGTTCCAATCCATAAATTGCACGCCGAGTAAACAGGGCATGTTTTGCAGGCATCCTGAACCAGGTAATTCATGATAGGTAAAAGATAACACGCCTACCAAGTCTTCAAAATGAAGTTTCTGAGCATGAGTTGTAGATTGCCTCTAGAGCACTCTCAGATAAATTCCAGGAATGCAGTTCTGTTTGGGTTTGTGTTTTTATTTACAGCAGCAATAGATTTCTTGACGGTTTACATGTTACTTTTTTGACAGCTGAGAACTGAGCAGGAAGGCAGCTGACAGCATAGTGGATACTAATCTGTGAACAGTGCACTTAAACCAAAAAGCATCCTATTGAAATGTCTTTTTCCAGTGGTGCCCAGTGACAGAACAAGAGGAAACGGGCACAAACTTGAGTATAAGGAGTTCCACCTAAATGTGAGGAGGAACTTCTTTACTGTGAGAGTGGTAGAGCCCTGGAACAAACTGCCCAGGGAGGTGGTGGAGTCTCCTTTTCTGGAGACATTCAAAACCCACCTGGACATGTTCCTGTGCAACCTGCTCTAGGTAGACCCACTCTGGTGGGGGGGTTGGACTAGATGATCTCCAGAGGTCCCTTCCAACCCCATATGATTCTGTGATTCTGTGGTGTTCAGTTATTGGTCTTTAATAAGAGGACATTATATATAAGTAGGAAGCTGTACAAGTAAGAAAGGGCAGCAAAAGAGAAGAAATAACAAACTTCAGAGAGCAGAACTTTCTCTCTGTGTTCTCTTTAGCTGTCTTAACACTCAGAACAAAAAGAGGTATTATACAATAGAAAAATTAAGCTAAGAGGTATGAAAATTCAGTGTGGAGATAGTGAAATTTGACAATGAATACAGAAATAAAAGGATAGAGGACCCTGAAAGCTTCAAAGAGATCTGAGTGTGATGTACTGCATGGCACAAAAAGATGGTGTGCAGAGTAGATAAGGAGTGGGCAATACTAACTGATCGGAAATGATCAGCCAAACTAAATTAGGATACACTGTCAAATGTTGTGGGTGGGTGGAGGCTGCTTTCAGGATTCAAAAAGCAAAGGATTAGAGGAGGTGGTGTTTTAAGTGTCAATAGAGCTATTGAAAGTATTTTGTGATAAAATAGAAGTTTACGATGAGGATATTTGTGTGAATGAGAGGAATGACATTAATAGTGTGGAAGTAGTCAACTCTGCATTTTTATCCAAATTAAAAATAGCTTCATGTAATTCATAGCAACTGTTTGTTATATTAATCCAATACAGAGTAATGTTGGTGAGTCTTAAACAAGATCAGTTCAATCCGTATTGGAGCCTTTCAGCTATCTCCATAAAAATTAACTAAAACTTTATAAATCCTAAATTCATGAGGTCTTTTGGTTAGTGGCTATCTTCAGACAAGAACCCTTGCTGCAGTTCTATAAGAGATGAGTTTTAAAATACAAGCACTTCCGAAGAATGCTGTTCTATAGCTTAAAAATATTCTTGATGAGTCTAATGTAATTTTATGGACTCTGCTATCCATTCTTTTGCCCTGGA